TATATTGTAATGTGCAACAGGGCCAGATGGATAAGGCACATTGGGTTTGGCCCCTTTTGCTCCAAGGGCATATTACCTGCCCCCCAACACCCAACATTCAGTGGTGAAGCCCAGTGCAAGTGAACAGACACCCTGTTCAAAAAGGGGGAGTATACCCTTAGTCACTGCTCCACAGCAATTTTGGAATCCAGCTAACACCTGACACAGTACTCCTTGATTGGGGCTCATCTGCTCCCTGCAAGTAGCTCCCTTGGCTACTGTTTTCAGCGTTCTTGGTTCCTCCCCCTGGGCACTGGGCCTTGTATTCGCAGTGACCCCCTTTTCCATAGAAAATGGCCTGTGTTTGCAGCTGAGTGGCTTCGTCAGTCTGCTTCCTGCCGGTAGAAAGCAGGGTCCCAGACACTTCTTTTATTTCAAAATCTGTCCATTTTACATTTTACTTCAAGCAGATACAACCCTTAAAAAAAAAAAAAAACACCACTGGGTTTTCTATATATCAAACTGTAACTTGTTTCACTAGACAAAAGCTATACTGCAAATGTCTTTTTTTTTTTTTTTTAAAGATTTTATTTATTTATTTGACAGAGACACAGCGAGAGAGGGAACACCAGCAGGGGGAGGGGGAGAAGGAGAAGCAGGCTCCCCGCAGAGCAGGGAGCCCGATGTGGGACTTGATCCCAGGACCCTGGGATCATGACCTGAGCCGAAGGCAGTCGCTTAACCGACTGAGCCACCCAGGCGCCCACTGCAAATGTCTTTGAGAAGGCTCTTCTCTTCTGTGGCCTGTGAGTCAGGTGCTGTGGGACAATGACCTTAAGATTCTTAGGAGCCTTTTTGTATGGCTGAGGGGGTCAACAAGGACTCCCTATCCCCCACCTATATGCCTCAGAAGTCTTAGGAAGGTATCATACAACTATACCCTTGAATTTACTTTATAATTCTCATGTTTTGCTGACAGTGCTCCAGATTTAATCTTTACCATGACACCATTTCTTACCTTCAGTACCTTTTGCTGCCTGGAAAGGCTAGAAATGAGAGAGTTTTGATTTTCCAACTCAGCAAGACCTGGCTTGGAAATACTTCCTCTAACTTCTGCCGGAACATGGAACAATTACTTCTTTAATTCATTTTTCTCTTGTATTTCACTTTAGCATAACTGAACAAAGCCAATCGGCCTTTACGTTTTCTGCCAGGAAAATCAGATCATTAGACGCATTTTCTATCTTCCATGTTACCACAGGCCATGGGCTCCCCATTTTCTTGCCAATTCTGGACATGGCCTCCCTCATCCAGCCTCCATCAGCAAAGTTCCCACTGCCAGTGTCCACCTGCTATCTGCTCCAAAGTCAGTGCCAGATTTTAGAATTTTATTACGGCAGTATCTCACTTCTAAGTACTAGTTTCGGTCCCAGTTCTCTATTGCTGCATAATAAACCACCCCAAAATGCAGTGGTTTAAAACAACTTTATTTTCTCATGATTCTGTAATCTAGCTTGGGCTCAGCTCTTGGTTCTTCTGCAGCTGGCTGGTGTGGCAGGTTGTCTCAAATTTTCACAATCAATCCCCTCCCTGTGCGTGATGCTTCATCCACGCTGGTCCTGTGACTGTTTTAATGCACTCAATGTGGTAGAAAGTTCTGGGACTTTTGAGCCCAGGCCTGAGCACTGGCAGCTTCACCTTCCTCCCTCTAGGGTACTTGCTTCCAGGTAATCAGTCTCATTATCTGGAGACCATAATGCTGTGCAGGACCCCAAACTAGCCATGTGGAGAGGCCTCATGGAAGAGACACCTGACCAGCCTCAGTCGAGGCATCAGACATGTAAGTGAAAGAGAGATCTTGGATATTCTGTCCTCAGCACACCCCACACACCCCATACTGAGTGGAAAAGCCTCCTGGCTGAATACAGCCTGATTTTCAGAATAAATAATAGATCAGGGTGATTTGGGTCACTCCTACAGCCACAGTCATTGGGGTGTGTGACTGAGGCAGGCAGTCTGAGATGGTTTCACGCCCCCATGCAGGCGTTCTCTCTTCCTCGCTCTGCGATCTGTCCAGCAGGGTAACCAGATATTTTGAAATGGTAGCTCAGGACTCCAAGAGAATGCGAACAAGTTGCAAGGCCTCCTTAGAGCCTGCAACTTACATGGCATCTCTTTCATTGCAGTTCTGCCAGTTAAAGCAAGTCAGGGGGCCAGCCCAGATTCAGTAGGAGGGGAAGGAACTTACCCTCTGATGGGAGGAACAGCGTGAATGTAAAGGGATGGGAGAAGTTGGTGCCAGACATCTTTGCAGACAAACTAAGGAAGCCAGAGGACAGAGCTGCTTAAGTCACCTGGGGAAGGTTCTTGGAGGAGAGGAGTCATGGGAACAAGAGCTTAACTGATCATGTTGTTATTTTCTGTATCTTATAAGATACCTTGACATTTTGGGGACCTTGCTGGCTGGGGAGAGGCTGCCCCTCCCAGGGTTAGCTAATTCCAAGAAATAGCAACTTGCCTCGGACCACACCTTTCACATGCAAACCAACCAATCCAGAGGCCATACCCCCAAACCAAACCAACCAATCCAGAGGCCATACCCCCAAGCACCTCCTTTACCAAACTCACACCAGTATTCCCCTGTCCTGAATCACTGTAGGGCCAGGTACTGGACAACTAGAGACTGCGGAATTATTCAAACTATCTGATCCTAAGCTTGCTCAAACTTGCCTAACCTGCCTCACCCATTCCTTCTCACAGAAGACACAATGAAGGCTCTGGGCCATGCTGTCTCCTAGCAAATTCGGCCTCCTGACCAACCCTGGTACTTCCCCATGTCCCCCCTCCTCTTGGGAATCACAAGTACTAAACTCTTCTTTTGAGGCAGTTGTCTCTGCGCCTGTCACCTTATCATACCTGATTAAAACAAATCCCAGGTACATTTTAAGAGAGGGCAGGGGTTGGAAGGATCACCCACGTGGATTCTGGAGTCACTAAGAATTCCTGCAACCGTGGTATTAGAGAGAATGACAGTGAGTCAGGAGCTGAAATCACCAAAAAATAAGGGGGAGTGACCTGGGCTTTGAAGATGACAGTAACAATGGAGCAGGTGGGCTACCATTCTGAGAAAATGAGTTAAAGCTGGGAGCTCTTGAGGAGGGTGCAAGTGGTTTGGAAGTTATTCTGAGTCAGGGGGGCACACACTCCAGGCCCAGACATAGGCGGGTTGTGTGAAAAGAAACATCTACATTTGAGAGGCTCCAGGAGGAAGCCTGGGCTGCACGAGAGCAAGAGGAAAGGAGCACTTAGGGAAGTTAGGGCCTTTGTGCTGATGGTGTAAGCGAGGGTACGGGGATGGGTGGGTGACGGTACAGAGTTGTATGGGGTGCCATTTTCTGTCCTTCACTTCATTTTAGCAGCGCCAACACAATCTCTTACTCCTTCCCAAAACACTCCCTTCTGGACTTCTGTTGTGGACATTGGGCATTTATGGGTTGCCCACAATCCTCCCAATTCCCAGGGGGACCCTGAACTCCTAGTTCAGGAATGTCTCCATTTGCATGGTATTGACAGGGAAATGTCTTAAGTGTGGCCAATCAGACCTCTCCCCACACCCCTAATATCAGAATCCCAAGCGAGGGGGGGTGGGGAGCTGGTGCTGGCTGCACACTCCTGGCCCTCCAGGGCCTCAGGCCCCTCTTTTTCCTCAGCCTGGTCCAGGGGATCCCTCCAGCCTGTAAGCCCCTCTCCTTTTGCTGGAGGGCTAGATCAGGTTTCCGTGGCTTTCACCCCAAACTCTTGATGTCATCAGCGCCCTGAGTTACCATCTTCAAACAGGGGCCTGCAAATCTGTAGTCCTTTGTCTTCCTCACACTCATGCGTCTTAGATTCTGCTTATCATAACTTTGTTCCATCCCCCAATTTATATCTAAGCCAGTCTTCTCCATTAGAAAATGCCACCCAGGGGCGCCTGGGTGGCTCCGTTGGTTGGGCGACTGCCTTCGGCTCAGGTCATGATCCTGGAGTCCCGGGATCGAGTCCAGCATCGGGCTCCCTGCTCGGCGGGGAGCCTGCTTCTCCCTCTGCCCCTCCCCCCTCTCATGTGCTCTCTCTCTCTCATTCTCTCTCGCAAATAAATAAAATCAAAAAAAAAAAAAAAAAGAAAAGAAAATGCCACCCATTCACGCAGGTGTTCCGGACAAAAACCCGGGCCACCCTGACGCCCTCCTTCAGGCGTTTGCAGCATAACGCGCGGGTGGGCGCCCTGCCCCTGCCCTGCGCAGGCCTCGCCCTCCCTCGCTGCGCCCCCTCTCGGGCCCCCCAGCTCTCCCCCCTCCCCAGTTCCCGCTCCGCAGGGACCTCCCGTGAGACGGCAGGTCAGAAGGCTGTCCCTCCTCCCCCACCCCGCCCCGGGGCGCCGTTCTCGCGGCTCCGGTGCCCGGACGGCCCCGCACCCACACCTCCGGGGCTGAGCGGGGCTCCCGTCCGCGGCCTCCGCCGGAGACTCGCTCCCCGGGGACACCGCCGCCACCCGAGGGCGCGCGGGGGCCGCCGCAGGAGCCCGGCCCGTCGGCAGGAAAGACGGCGCCCGGCGCCGGGGGCCCGCCCCCCGTGACGTCCTTCCGCCGGCCGCCGCGGGGCAGCCGTCCGCCGCGAGCGGGCCGCGAGCGGGCGGGGACGGGGGAGGGGGCGCCGGCCCAGCCCGCCCCCCGCCCCGGCCCGCCCCTCGACAGGTGAGCCGGCCGCGCTTCCCGCGGCAGCAGGGGGCGCCCGCGCGCCGCCCGATCTCCACCCCGCGGGCGGGCCCGGCTGGCGGGCGTCGGGGTCGGGGCAGGAGTTGTCGGTGGAGGGGCGGGAGAAGGGGCGTGGGACGGACTCTGGCGGGGCTGGGGGCAGGGCCGAGGCGGGCCGGGGCCCGCGGGCGGGGGGCGAGCGGGGAGGAGACGGGCCCCGGGGGGATCGGGGTGGGCGGGCCCGACGGGGCGGGCCCTGGAGGGTGGGGCTCGGAGCGCGGCGGCGGGAGGGGGTGTCAGTGCGCGGCCGCCCGGCCAGGGCGACGGCATGGGGCGGGTACAGCTCTTCGAGGTCCGCCTGAGCCGCGGTCGCGTCGTCTACAGCCCGGGAGAGCCGCTGGTGGGGGCCGTGCGCGTGCGCCTACGGGCGCCGCTGCCCTTCCGAGGTGGGCGCGGGGTCGCCTCGGCGGGGGGGCCAGGTCGGCGGGGCCCAGGTGGCTGCGCAGCACCTGCGGCCGGGCGGGCTCTCCCGGAAGCAGCAGCTAGTGGCGCTGGGCCTGGACCCGCGGAACTGGTGGCGCCTCCTGCCGCCCCCTCCCTTCCCCTCCCGCCGGCCCGGGGAGTCTTGGGCCCCGCCGGCTGCAGGGAGGGCTGGGGTGCGGCGGGCCGGGCGGCGCAGACCCGCCGGGGTGGGTGGCTGCTGGCAGGTGGAGCGGAGCAGGGAGGCCACGGTGGCCCAGTCCTTCCGCATGTGCCCTTCCTGTTCTCTCCTAGGGCCGGCCAGAGTCGGGGGCGGGGGTTTAGATCCTGCCCACCTTGCCGAAGGCCCCTCTGACTTGGACACGTGCACGCCCCCGGCCCTCTCTGTCGGGTCTGCAGGGTCCGCTGCACCCTGTACCTGCTGGGCCCTCACCTGGAGCCTGGCCCACGCTGGGCTTTCTCTCCCACACGCCCAGGCCCCTGGCGCAGGCCCTCAAGCCTCATGTTCCCGCGGCGCACCCGTTTCCACCCAGGCTAAGGCTTGGCCTTGCGAGCTGGGAGGGTCTTGCTCATCCCTGCGTGACCCAGGCTTCCAGCCCAGTGAGCATCTAGAAACTGAACCCGAGCCCTACTGGCTGGTCCTTCTGCTGGTGCAGACATCTGGGACTTTGGGGCTGGGAGTCAGGTTGCTGGTGTGGCCCTTGCTAGGGCTCTCCGCAGGTGCGGGCCTTATCTGCCATCTGAGGTGTGGGCAGGGCCCTGAATGGGACTTTTTCAAAGCTCAGCCCTCAGGGTGCCACCCAGGTACTCTGTGCCTGATTGCTGGTTCTGAGCGTGAGTGTGCTCCTGCTGGAGTACTTCTCCACCTTGGATGCTTGGCCCAAACCACAGCCATCAGGCAACCCTCTGGACTTTGATCCTCTGCACCCCTGCGTGCTTGGTAGCTCAGTTCATCTGGTGCCTCTGAGGACTGAGAGCCACTGCCCAACTTTCTGGGCCGCCGCTGCCGGGGTCCTGGATGGGTCTGACTCCTGACCTTGCCATGTTTGAGGCCGCAGGGTTTAGGAAGAAACTGAGTGGGTGAAGGTACCCCTGGTCAGGCGTCCAGCCTTGTGCGGTCTCCTCCTGATGACTCACACCTCCTTTCCTGTCTCCTCGGTTGGAGTTTGGGGTTTGGGTGGGGTAGTTGTGGTGGTGGCAAGGGGCACAGCAGGAACAGTGCAGCTCTTCCTTGGGGCACAAGGAGAGATGACAGTTGAAATGGGAATGAGGGGAGAGCCCAGGGCACAGGAAGGAGGGGTGGGCTTGTGGCTGTGGGGATGGCAGACATGAGACCCCATGCAGGAGCTCACTGCCTGGCTCATCCGCCCAGTCATGCTTCCGTAGCTGGGGCCCAGGGCAAACAGGCTGTTACTGACCACAGTGAAGCAGAGTCCCCCAGCCTCCATGTGGTGGGTGGGATGTGGGTGAATGGACAGTTGGGCCATAGGATGGTGAGGGAGCCCCTGCTGATGGTCCCCACTATCAGTGTGCTAGCCAATCGCCTGAATAGGGGAGGGAAGATGGGGGCATAGGCTGAAGAGTAGATGGATGATGACTTTGAGCCAGAAGAGTTATTATTCAGATTGTCCCTGAGGTGTAGACAGAATGTGGTGCTGAGGCTGTTCTGGGGCCTTCTTTTAGCCCTGGTGGGTTTGGAAAAGGAAAGGCTGTGGTTCTTTTTTTCTTTCATTCATAAGATACTTGTTGAGCTCCTGCTATCAGCCAGTGATGCAACAGGGAGGCCCTCCACTGCTCCAGGAGGACATGGAGGTGGGAAGGCCTCAGGCCTTCAGGCCCTGGGGGGCTCCTAGTCTTGCCCACTAAATGCTTGTCTGATGAAGGACAGAGATGATTTGCACTCAACCATGAGGACACTGGCTGCCCTCGGAGCAAATGCAGAAGGAGAAAGCTGTGGAAGGAACTGGTTCCCTGGAGCCCAGGTCCAGCCGAGCCTGTTCTGCTCTCAAGGGGGGGCATTGGGGGCGGCGGGAGCCTAGACAACAGCAGCAGTCAGCCCCCAGCTCGCCAGCTCACTGAACTCTCACCGTGGGGCAGATGCCATTCTCCCCACCTCCCATGGACCAGCTCTGTGAACCCTCAGAGCAACCCTGGGAGGGGGGCACCATTACTCTTCTCATGCTTCAGACTTAGAAACAGGACAGATGGACGTGCCTCAGAGGCCAGAGCTTTAGTGAAAAGATGTGGCAAAGGCTGGGCTGCTCCAGGTTTGTGGGAACTGGTGGAGGTGGGCGAGACCTTTGGGACCAGAATGAGGAGTGAGCAGAGATCTTCTTGGTCAGATGGCAGATGGTGCAGGGAGGAGGGCTGCTGGACAGGGGAGTTCCGAAGTCACTCTGGAACACAGTCCACATGATGATGTTCCTTGGAGAACAGGAGCAGCCCCAGACCTCCAGATGGACGCTTATCAGTTTGGTGCTTGCCTTTCTTTACCCACCTGAGCACTGTTGGAAGCGAAACACCTTTAAACCTAGGTGGTGCAGCAGGGCATGTTGCTGTGCACGGAGGCCGGCCCCGGTGGTGCCCTTGCTGCGAGTCTGCTGGGCACCAGAACGCATCTGCCCCTGTCCTGTGCCGTTGCCTCGGGGCACACACGCTGGTGTGACGGCTGTGCTCACCTGCAGGAGCAGATCCCCCTGCATGGGGTGGGAGGACCAGCCTACTCTGCGTGTCCATCCCCTGTGCGTCCGTTGTACCCCTGCGGAGGACAGTGGACAGGAACAGGCTGTTTGACTCCAAGATGGTGATGGGAAGCTGCTCGTTCAGGCAAGGTCCCCGCAGGGGCTTTAGCATGTGAGCAAAAAGAGGCTCTTTGCCTGGGCATTGGGAAGGTCATAGAACTTGGGCCCCTCTGGGATACCCCGAGGGTTGGTGTGATACTGTTAGTTTTTCTGAGGGCAGGTGACCCCGCGGCTTGTTCACCTGAATTCTGGGGCCGCATCTAGGCTGGGTGGGTGACTGTTTTAGGCGTTTTGCTGTTGGACACGTGGGCTATGCCTAGATAGTTTGCTGTTACAGTGTTGCTCGTAGCTCCTGGGTAGATAGGGTGGATTGTGAGAACCGTTGGGTCCTCTGGGATGTGCATGTAAGGTCCTAGCAGATCTTCCTGGTGCTTTGCTAGGGCCCCTGTAGCGGCCTACAGTTTGATCACCGTAAAGTTTTCCATCTCCTCTCCAACCCACGTCAAAATATTTAATATTTGCCAACTGATAGGTTAAAATGGTAACTCATTTGAGTTTCTCTGATTTCTACTGAGGTGGGATATCTGTTCCTGTCGTCTGCTGCTATGTAAAAGTCACTTCTATGTAACAAGTCACCCCTAAACTAGGTGGTTTAAAACAACCAGTTTATTATAACTCACAGCGTTGTGGATTGGGAATTTAGACAGAGGTGGGCAGGGTGATTCTTCAGCTCTGTGTGCCATCCACTGAGGTCACTTGACAGTTTTCAGCGGGCACTGGGCCAATCTGGGGACCACTTAATTCCTTCTGGCATACTCTGCTGGTCCCAGAATTCACAGGGCAGCCATATTCAAGGAGGGATGCACCCTCTCTGTGGGGACTGTAGAGTGGCGTGGCATCTGGAATCGTCACACTTCCCCTCCTTTATTCACTCCCTTGCCGTATTTCTCTCAGGATGTGTTCGTCTGTAGGAGCACCCCTGATGTCTCCGATTTCTGGGATAGGAACAATTCCAGGTCTGGCCCTAGGAGGGGATGGCTGATGAAGTGTGGATTAGAAATCAGGGCTGAGGTCTGGTCACTGGCAGTGCCAGCGGGGGTGGAGGATAAGCCAAGGGTTCCCCCGGGGAAAGCCTGGTGGTCTGTGGGTGGCCAATAGGAGGCTTGTTTTGTCAGGGTTGGGTTGGCCTGTGGAGACCCGGACATGTCTGGTGTGGCTGGCCCCTGGCCCTGGGCACTTGGGATACCAGGTTTCTCCTGCCTGGTGCCTCTGTCAGAAGGGTGTCAGATTCTGAGTCACCTTCCCCTCACCTGACCATCAAGTCAGGGGAGGAAGAGGAGAGGCTGGGCAGGGAGGCTGACATCTTTGGCCTTGTCTCAGCCTTGCAGTTAAAGGAGGGGTGGAGCCTCAAGGCTACCTGTCACTGAGCCCCCAGCCCCTCCAGCTGTGGTGTCCTCCTTGCTGGTCCAGCCACGGCCTTCTGACCGTAGTGGTCTTTGGGCAAATGCCCACTGAAGTGGGGAATTTGAGTTCCTGGCCACAGGAAGGTGGTGGTGACCTCTGCTGCAAACGGTCCTGGTCAGAGAGAGGACCAAGTCCTCTCTTGATGTAGGAAATCACCCCTCCTGGGCAGCACTGGTCCAGGAAGCCAAGGGTGTCCCCACCCTGCAGTGTGCCGGGACTGTTGGGTACCTTATCTGCTCAGGCAGGTCTGACCACATTCCTGCATCATGAGGGCTAGCAGTTAGCTTCCTGGAGCATGAAGGGGCGCCTCCCAGCCTAACTGACTTGCCTGTGAGCCAACAGGAAGTGGGGCTGGAGGTCAGCTGCCCCATAGGTTTCTGTTCATCATTGGTGTCCCAAGCATCCCTTGTAGGGAGCTGAGTTTACACAGGTCTGGTGGGCCCAGGGGTGGCTGGGAACCAAGGTTACCAGGTTGGGGGTTGTCCAGGTGTCATCTGGGTGACCACTGGGGCCCTCCTGTTCTGGACTTTGGGACAGATTTAACTCTGTGCCTCATCACCCTGGCTCCCTGGGAGTACCCCAAAATGGGGGATGGACATGAGGTATCCTCTGAAGGGCAGCAGGTCCCTTGCTGGCCTGCCTAAGGGTCAGCACTCCTTGGTGTGCCAGCTCTACCTAAATCTCTGTGATGGGGGCAGGGAGGGGCCCAGGCCAGGGGCTGGCTGGGACTCACACTGTCTCCCGACCTTGCAGCCATCCGAGTGACCTGCATGGGTTCCTGCAGGGTGTCCAGCAAGGCCAATGATGCAGCGTGGGTAGTGGAGGAGGGCTACTTCAACAGTGCTCTGTCGCTGGCTGACAAGGGTGAGTTTGGGAGCCTGTACTTGCCTTGTCACATGTAGTGAACCCCTCCAGGGCAGACCTTGGTTGAGAGTGGGCCTCTCTCCATCCCACCTCCTCATCTGCCTCTGCTCACCCACCCTCTAGCAGGGCTTTGTACCCTGATGTGTTGCTCTCCCCAGCAGGCACTAGGCATTGCCTGATAGAGCCTGGGTGGCTGAAGGGGGCCAGCTTCTCCTTGATTTCGGTGGGCTCTGGCCCCTGGAGTAGGCCCCGTCCCCTTTTCCTGTTTAAGCGAAGCTCTTGTACCCCTTCCTTTGCCAGGCTGCAGCCCTGTACTGCTAGGGTGCCTGGAGTCAGAGGCTGGGAGACCCAGTAGCCAGACCCAGTATGAACTGGTCGGCTGCAGTGCCTGCTTCTAACCTGTGTCCCGTGGTGTCAGCTCGAGGCTCCTGAGCCCTTCACCCCACCCCTGCCTCCTGTCTCCGCAGGCTCCTGAGCCCCTCTCCCCCACCCCTGCCTGCTGTCTCTGTAGGGAGCCTGCCTGCTGGGGTGTCAGCTCGAGGCTCCTGAGCCCCTCTCCCCCACCCCTGCCTCCTGTCTCCGTAGGCTCCTGAGCCCCTCTCCCCCACCCCTGCCTCCTGTCTCTGCAGGCTCCTGAGCCCCTTTCCCCCACCCCTGCCTCCAGTCTCCACAGGCTCCTGAGCCCCTCTCCCCCACCCCTGCCTCCTCTCTCCGCAGGCTCCTGAGCCCCTCTCCCCCACCCCTGCCTCCTGTCTCCGCAGGGAGCCTGCCTGCCTGCTGTGGTGTCAGCTCGAGGCTCCTGAGCCCCTCTTCCCCACCCCTGCCTCCTCTCTCCGCAGGGAGCCTGCCTGCTGTGGTGTCAGCTTGAGGCTCCTGAGCCCCTCTCCCTCACCCCTGCCTCCTGTCTCCTCAGGCTCCTGAGCCCCTCTCCCCCACCCCTGCTTCCTGTCTCCGCAGGCTCCTGAGCCCCTCTCCCCCACCCCTGCCTCCTGTCTCCGCAGGGAGCCTGCCTGCTGTGGTGTCAGCTCGAGGCTCCTGAGCCCCTCTCCCCCACCCCTGCCTCCTGTTTCCGCAGGGAGCCTGCCTGCTGTGGTGTCAGCTCGAGGCTCCTGAGCCCCTCTCCCTCACCCCTGCCTCCTGTCTCCGCAGGCTCCTGAGCCCCTCTCCCCCAGCCCTGCCTCCTGTCTCCGCAGGCTCCTGAGCCCCTCTCCCCCACCCCTGCCTCCTGTCTCCGCAGGGAGCCTGCCAGCTGGTGAGCACAATTTCCCTTTCCAGTTCCTGCTTCCTGGTAAGAGCCCAGCCTGGCCTGGCCAGGCCTGCTGCTGACAGTTGGTGGACAGGAGGTGGGACAGGGGACAGTTGGGTGCCATTCCCTGCTCTTTCTCCAGCCACAGCGCCCACGTCCTTCGAGGGCCCCTTTGGGAAGATTGTGCACCAGGTGCGGGCCACCATTGACACACCACGTTTTTCCAAGGATCACCAGTGCAGCCGTGTGTTCTATATTTTGAGCCCCCTGAACCTGAACAGCATCCCAGACATTGAGGTGAGGATGGAGCCGTGGTTCCTGGCTGATGCCCTACCCCCAGGCTCAGAGATGAGATGGCTGGGATCTAGAAGAGCACTGTGCAGTGTCTGGGGGGCAGGGTTAGCAGGGCTGAGTGGGCTTGTCCAGGGGTTGCAGAGATCTAGGCTGCCCATACCTGCCAAACACTTAATTACTGCCCTCCCCTCAAGCAACCCAACGTGGCCTCCACTACCAAGAAGTTCTCCTATAAGCTGGTGAAGACGGGCAGCGTGGTCCTCACCGCCAGCACTGACCTCCGTGGCTACGTGGTAGGGCAGGTGCTGCGGCTGCAGGCTGACATCGAGAACCAGTCAGGCAAGGACACGAGCCCTGTGGTAGCCAGTCTGCTGCAGGTCAGAGTCCTCTCTGGCTGTCAAGGCCTGTCCCATGGGGCTGGAGGAGGGGGAGGTGACTGGCCTGCCAGGCTCACAGGCTGGCCCTTCCCCAGAAAGTGTCCTACAAGGCCAAGCGCTGGGTCCATGACGTGCGGACCATCGCAGAAGTAGAGGGTGCAGGTGTCAAGGCCTGGAGGCGGGCACAGTGGCAAGAGCAGATCCTGGTGCCTGCCCTGCCCCAGTCAGCCCTGCCAGGCTGCAGCCTCATCCACGTGGACTACTACCTGCAGGTGCTGGGGGTTGGAGGGAGTGTGGTGGGGAAAGGGGGCTGGGTAGCCTAGCCTCACTCTCCCATCCTCCCCAGGTCTCCCTGAAGGTGCCTGAAGCCACTGTGACCCTCCCTGTCTTCATCGGCAATATCGCTGTGAACCACGCCCCAATGAGCCTCCGGCCAGGCCCAGGGCTGCCTCCTGGGGTGCCAGTCCCCGTGGTGCCCTCGGCGCCGCCCCAGGAGGAGGCCGAGGCTGCGGCCAGCAGCCCCCGCTTCGCAGATGCAGTCTCCCTCTCCACGGAGAGCCACTCACATGAGCAGCCATTGCCTGCTGCCTTTGGCTCTGTGCCTGGTGCCCCTGAACCCCGCCCTCAGGATGGCAGCCCTGCTCCCCACCCATTGCCCCCTCCCTTGTGCATCTCCACAGGTGCCACAGTCCCCTACTTTGCAGAGGGTTCTGGAGGGCCAGTGCCCACCAACAGTACCTTGATCCTGCCCCCAGAGTACAGTTCGTGGGGCTATCCCTATGGTGAGTGAGGGGCCTGGGGCCGGGTGGGGGAGAGGGCACCATGAACCCCATGCAGACCTCGTTCTCTCTCCGCAGAGGCCCCGCCATCCTATGAGCAGAGCTGTGGCGGTGCAGATCCCAGCCTGACACCCGGGAGCTGACCCTGTGCCGCCTTCTCCGGGTGGGCTGACCTTTGCCCTGGGATCGGGCACCCAGGGCCTTGTGCCTTCTTCGCTCCCGGCCTGACCCGGCCCACTCAGGACCCGCTGCTGCCCGGCTGCTCCTTTCAGCCTCTGCCTAGGGACCACCCTCTCCCCAGGGGCCTGGGGCCTGGAGAGATGCCGTGTAAATAAAGCACTTCATTTGTAGAGCTAGGCACAGGACAGCCTCTCGGGCACCCTCTTCCCGCCCGGTGCATAGCAGCCTAGCCCTGGGTGCCCCTCCTGGGCATGCACCCCCCACTCCTGGTCCTGCTCGCCCTTCCTTCAGTCCTGGAACCCCGCCTATGGGCCGCCCCATCCTCTCCAGTGCGCATGCCCCTCTCCTTGGTTCTGGGCGCCTCCTTCCAGGTGCCTAGGGCTTAGAAGACTGGCCCGGGGGAGCGGGACCAGCATGGACTGGGTACCTTTAACTCAGGCCGGGGCTGGTGCTTGTTCTCATGGTTCTGCTTAAGGATGTGCCCTCAGAGTGGGGCTTGCATGTCTGGAGCCTTGGTGTTAAATTTAAAATGTATTTGTAATGTGGGGAGAAGAGCACCCCTGTAAGGTTTTATTGACACACTTTGGGCTTGCCCATCCAGCACCCATCATTCCAGGTGGCGGAGTTCAGATCTCCTGCACCAGAGGAAATCCTGTGGGGGGTGACCAGGTGGACTTGCCCACGTGCCCACCCCTTGTGCTGTTCCCTTATCCTTGGCCTCAAGTCTCAAGTTCCTGCTGTCACCACTGCCACCCACGTCTGGCTCTGAGGGATACTGCTGCTCGTCTCCCATGAACACCCAAGCCCATGCCTGCTCCCGAGGTCCCTTTCAAATGCCTGTTGTCTAGGATTCAAGGAACCCAAGAACAAATAAAGTCAGGGTTTGGCAGAGCAACGTTTACCAAAGGGGCATCCTGCAGGTGTTCCAGTGCTGTGGGGAGGCCTGTAAATGCCCAATGGGGCCAGTGATCTGGACCGTGCTTTGGGAAATACTGGAGGTGGGATTAAGATAAGACTTTGGGTTGAAATTCCGTATCTGACATACGGTGAGGGAGTGACCTTGGATAAGCGTCTCAGTTACCTTAATCTATAACAAACTTATGGGACTAGGAGTGGACATATTGAACCCCCTGCCTCCCCACCCCCCGCCCTTGGGGGTTTATTTCTTGTACACTTAACAGTTCAGATAGCTGTTATTCTCAGGTTGAGGCTTCCACCCCGGGGTTCAGGGTGGCCATTCCAGACTTCACCATCAGCCAATTTCCTGGGCCTGCTCCTGTAACTTCTGGGAGGCTACAGGCTGGGAAGTAGATTGAATCACTTGGGCAAACATCCCATTGGCCACTCTTGACAGTTAGAAATGCGCTCCTTAGCCAGGCAGCCATGTACCCAGCTAAAATGTTACTATTTGTGGAACAAGGAGAGGATGAACATTGGAGAAAAGCTCAAAATATGCCACAGGGAGGATAATCTGTAAAACATCCATTAGCAGCCTCATTGTTGGAAACCTGCCTGGCTTTCAACCCCATCTCAGCGTCTCAACAGTTAGGCGGTCTTGAGGGCACGCAACTCCCTTGCTTTAGTTTGTTCACTCAACCCATGTCTCATGACTGACCTGATGGTTATACAGTTCACATGGCATGTGTCAAAAACAGCACTTGATGTAAGTGATCAGTGATCACACAAGGATAGGGCGGGTTGGGCTTACAGTGCAAAATGGGGACACATTCACTTACAGTCAATATTTGCCTGGTAAAGGACTTTCTCTCCACATCTGATTTATTCATTCAACAAATATATATTTTTTTCTTAAGATTTTATTTGACAGAGAGTGAGCACAGTAGGCAGAGTGGCAGGCAGAAGGTGAAGAAGGCTCCCTGCTGAGCAAGGAGCCCAATGTGGGACTCAATCCCAGGACCCTGAGATCATGACCTGAGCCGAAGGCAGCTGCTTAACCGACTGAGCCACCCAGGTGCCCCTCAACAAATATTTGTCTCCTTCATGCCAAGCATTGTTATAGGCAGTAGGGCACACAAGATAAAAATCTCTGTCTGTCGGGACTTCTAAGTGGGAAAGACAACATAGCAGTGGAGTGCCATGGAGTCAAAGCAAGGAAGTTCTGGGGAGCAGTATTGTTTTCAATAGAGAGGTCAGGGAAGGCTTCCCTGAAGAAGTGGTATTTGAAACCCGAGGACGGTAGAGACACTGCGGAGATAGTGCAGGAGTGGAGATGGGGAGGATGGTGCCAGAGAGGCGTATATGGGTGAAGGTGGGTCAGGTTGGGCTGTGCAGGCTGGGACTATTGACTTCCAGTCTTGAGGCTCAGAGTTGGGGTCCTAAGCCTGTTAGGAGCTGACTTAGGCTGTCCCAGAGAAACCTGGGAAGATTTTCTAGGTACTTACATTCGTCCACTTCCTCCTCTGCACCTCTGTGCATGGTCAATGCCCACCTTAGTTACTTTTTCCTGCAGTCCCGTGAGAGTGAGCCATCATAAGCCAGGGGGAGGCAGGATTAGCCTTCGACTCAGGGCCTCCTCAGTTCTCGCTGCAAAGACTGGCCAGAGAAACCCAATTTCAGTCTCTATTTCTTTCCTCAACTCCCAGAAGATGGTAAAAATAGGCCTTAGGGAACGGGTGGGCGAAGCCAGTTTATGTGATGCTGTCCATGAAGGCTGCTTGGTGTGCAGAGATCTTTGTGCATAACTGGCCGGCAGGCTGGCGCCGAGTCAAAGAGCTTGGGGTGGCTCACGGAGGCTGCCCAGACGGAGCGCACCTCCTAGCTGGAGCATCCCGCACGAGCGGGGGGCAGTCCTCCTCCTGGGCACGTTCCCCGCCCCACCCCCAGCCTTCCCAATCGGAACACAGTCCCCGTCCAGAGCGCACTTTCCTAGCGGGACACCCGCCCTACTCAGAGCATCGTCTCCCACAGCGGAAGTGCTCCCTGGCCAGAGCATGCCCCGAGGCCAGGGCACCTCCCCTAACCGAAGCACCCCAAACGCAGGCAACTCTCCTCACTGAGACATCCTCCCACAGCCGGGGCAGTCCCCCCCCCCCGGCACAGTCCCCTCCCCTGTCGGGGCAGGCTTCTCGGTCGCCACAACGCGGGCGCCCACTCCTAGCAGGACCCCCCCACCGGCCGGGGCACCCCCACCACCGGGTACGGCCCAGAAGCACCCTCCAGGTGGGCATTCCTCACAACCAAGCCCCTGCCCACGAACCCGGGAATACCCGCGAACCCGGGCACCGCCCTAGGACGCAAGTCAGGATCCGCCTTCTGCGAAGGTCGACGGAAGAAAAGTGCGTCCGGGGTTAGAGGTCAGGGATCCTTCTCCCCCCCAGCCACCCCCCAGAACGCCCGCGTAGAAGGGAAAGATAGTTGCGGAAACGGGGAGCGAAGCCCAGCCGCCGCGACGCCTCCGGAAGGCCGCTGCGCCCGGCTCCGCCCCCCGCCCGGCCCGCGCGCCCCGGTTCCGGCCGGCGCAGGCTCGCGCCGGGGACGCCGCACGCCGGGCCGTAGTGCGCGGGCGCGGGCGCGGGCGCAGGCGCAGACGCGCGCGGCCAGCCCCGCCCCGCCCTGGGCCGCGAGGCGCGGGCGGGGCGATGGCGCGCGGGAGGGGCGGGGCCACGCTGCGGGCCCGGGCCATGGCCGCCGCGGATGCCGAGGTGAGGAGCGGGGCGGCGGGCCGGCGGCGGCGGGGGCGGCGGGCGCGGCGGCGGCGGCGGCGGGCGCGGCGCCGGCGGGCGGGCGGGGCGCGCGGGCGCGGGCGGGGGCGCCGAGCCGGAGGGGCCGGGCGGGCCCGCGCCTCCCCGCCGCCGCCGCCGCGCCTCAGGCCGAGGCCGGGCCGAGGCCGCCGGCGTCCGGGCCGCGCCGCGCGGGGCGCGCTTTGTGCGGCGGGCGGGCGGGGGGCGGCCGGCGGGCGGGGCGCGGGGTGAGGCCCGGCTGCCCGCGTCCGCGCCGCCCGCCCCCGCGCGCCCCGGGCCTCGGCCGGGCGCCCCGCGGAAGGGGCGGAGGACAAAAGGGAAAGTGGGGCGAGCCGGCCAACTTCGCGGCGCGAGCCGAGGCGAGGCCGTCCGCTCCCGGCGCCTCGCCTGCGCCCGCTGACCTTTCACTTTGTTCCGAATAGGGTGGCACCGTCTTTAACGAAAAGTTGGCCGGCCCGGCGCGCTTCTCCCCAGACAATGCTGCCCGCCCTGGCGGCTGTCAGAAGCAGGAATGCACGACTTCGGTTTATCTCTAAACAAACTGCCTGAACGGGCTCTGGAGATAGAAAGTTCCCCTTTCTTGCTAGTGCCGTTCCGTCGTCCCTCTGGCCGACGCTCAGGGATAGTCTGTTTCCTGGCTCGTAGCAGCACGGAAACCAAACTTGGGAGACGGACCACTAGCTGGCCCCGAAGGGAGGAGCGAGCAGGAGCGGTGCGCCGGTGGAGATGCAGAAATAGTGCGGGCTGCGGGCTGACAGAGGGGCCAGCTTGGAAGACGTGGTGCTCTCTGAGCTTTCTCCTGGAAGTACCGCGTGTGTAGCAGTAAACGCGGGGGCTTCAGAGAGCTCAGGTGTGGCAGTGCAGCCGTCTGGGGCATACACCCAACTGTGTATTTTGATCGGAGGGACGTGGGGTCTTCTTACTTCTGACCTTTTCCGGGTATCTTTGCGAGTGTTGGTCCTAAGTACGCTGGGAGGGTGCGGGGGGTTTTTAAAGTGCAGTGCGAGGACTATTAATTGAGTTCTTATCACACACTCAAGGAATGTATGGGGCTCTGCGACAAGGAGGTAAATTGGGTAGCTTTAAAAGTCACTTCCAGGTTTGTGGAGAAAGGATGTGTACGGAGTAATGATACTTACCGAGCACTCGCTGTGGCTCGCGGCCCTGTGATTTACTTTAGGTGAGTTCTCTCGTTTACCTTTCTCTGCTCTGTGCGGCAGGTACTGTTATTTCCTACTGAGCAGGCGAGGAAGACGCGACTTGGAAGAGATTGAATGACTTCATAGTCCGTTGTAGGACTAGCACTTGTTGGGTGTTTGGCACATAGTGGGTTTTTAATAAATAATTGATGAGCAAATGACCCCAGACGGCTCTCATTCCACGATCAGCCTTGAATAGAGGGCTTAACTCAGCTGATGATAATGACAGCCTGTTCACTGAGCCCTTACCTGTGTCCAGTCCTGTTGTGGCGCTTTGCGTGAATTCACTCATTAAAGCCTGACAGCGATCTTCGAGGTAGGTACTGTTCTGTTCCCGTTTGCAGATGAAGAAACGGGCACAGTGCATCCCAGCGTCTCAGACTTTGTGCTGGAGAGGATGTATGCAGGCAGTTTAGCTCACTGAACGTGTGCTGTGTCCGTGGTGGTCATTTTCACGAAATAAAAGCTCTGGGTTTAGATTCATGATCTTAAGTGTTTATTGTGGAGGTGCATTGATAGGGTAAGGGGCCTCCTGGACGGTGGGTAGGCATAAGATCATCTCTTGCCACTAAATCTGTGAAATGGTTACTGGATCAGGGTTCACTGATTGCCAAATGATTAAACCAGCAAAGTGAACATTTGAAACTTACCTAATTGCCTGTTCTTTTCTCTTTTCCTTGACCTCGAAAGAGAGTCACCACTTTTTCACACTAAAGAGAACTAGTAAGCTAGTGGAATATATCCCCTGCTCCCATTTTGTGGATTAGTAAGTGGGGGCTCCTGGGTTTAATGTATGTTCAGGATCGCCCAGGACCAGAGCATAGGGTAATGTACTTGATTTAAGGCTTTTGACCCAGCAAAATGTCTCCTTTTAGCAGGAGAGCCTTCCCAGGCAGATTGTATGCTTCATATTCTAGCAGGGTGGCAACTTTGTATCTCTTTTTTAAAACTTACTTTTTTGTTAAAATAATATAAGCACATGTACATAGTTTAAAAAGTCAGATAGTGCTGGGGCACCTGGCTGGCTCATTCCATAAGACTCTTGATCTCAGGGTGGTGAGTTCAAGCTCCATATTGGGTGTGGAGCCTACTTAGACTCCCCTCCCCCCCCAAAATACTGAAGGAAGTTAAAAAAAAAAAGTCAAATAGTTCTAAAAGACCTTTTTTTTTTTTTTTTAAAGATTTTATTTATTTATTTGAGAGAGAGAATGAGAGACAGAGCACGAGAGGGAAGCGGGTCAGAGGGAGAAGCAGACCCCCCGCTGAGCAGGGAGCCCGATGTGGGACTCGATCCCGGGACTCCAGGATCATGACGTGAGCTGAAGGCAGTCGCTTAACCAACTGAGCCACCCAGGCGCCCCCTAAAAGACCTTTTAAAAAGGCCACCCTCCTCCTCCTCTCTTGCCTTTCTAGAGAGGCAGCAGCCACTTGACACTCTTTAACATTTGCTTCATGTGTCTAAATAATATGTTTGTGTTGCCATGTCTTCATTCACCAATTTTAGGGGTTATTTGTTGGCTTCCACTAATGGTAGATGATGACTTCAGTTCTCTCATACTCTGTTACCTGGAACACTCAAGTTTTGGTTAAATTCATACCCCAAATCATCAATTCAGGTCATTATTGTGCCATGCAATTGCTTTTCTTTCCTTTTCTTTCTTTTTAAGATTTTATTTTTTTAAAAAGATTTTATCTTAGCATGTGAGTGGAGGGAGGGGCAGAGGGGGAGGGAGAAAATCTTAAGTAGACTCTGTGCTGAGCTGTGCTGATCCCACGACCCTGAGATCATGACCTGAGCCAAGACCGAGAATGGGATGCTTAACCGACTGAGCCACCCATGCACCCCTTAAGATTTTATTTTTAAGTAATCTCTACACCCAGGGTGGGGCTCGAACTCACAACCCTGAGATCAGAGTCACAGGCTCCACCGAGCCAGCCAGGCACCCTGTATTTCTTTTTTTTGTACAGCCTTTTTTCTTTCTTGGAGTTAATGATTGCCTCATTTTTCATTTGCCTGGTTTCCTTTGAACTTCAGAATAACGTTCTTGCACTTTCTATTCCGTGAAATGTTTCTCGATTTAAGTTTCCTCCACTTTGCCCTGTCCGCTCACCATTTGCTTCCTTGGTGCTCCTGAGTCACTCTGCCCAAGTCAGGATGTGCTTGTTCTCTTGGCTTGGTGCGCACTGACATCCTGGGAATTGCCCCCATCATTCTCTAGTGATGAATCCCTTTCCCCGCATCTAATGGCTCCTCTCTGTGTGTTTACTCACTCGTGGTGGTAGAACACATTCTCTAATAGCTTACCAGTAGTTTTTTGGGAGGCAAACTTTTGGGACTTGCATGTCTGAAAATGTACTTATTCTACCATCACACTGAAAGATTATGTTTGGCTGGGCTTGGCATTCCAGGTTGGAGGTAATTTTTAAGTTATTGCTCCCATATCTTCTAGTTTTCATTGTTACTGTTGAGAAGTCCAGTTTGATCTCAATCCTTTTAACCATGATTCCTCCAACACATTTTTAGGATCATTACATCCCACAGTTTTTATGATGTGTCTTTTTTTTTTTTTTTTTAAGATTTTATTTATTTATTTGACAGAGAGAGACACAGCGAGAGAGGGAACACAAGCAGGGGGGAGTGGGGGAGGGAGAAGCAGGCTTCCCGCGGAGCAGGGAGCCCGATGCGGGGCTCGATCCCAGGACCCTGAGATCATGACCTGAGCCGAAGGCAGACGCCCAACGACTGAGCCACCCAGGCGCCCCTATGATGTGTCTTAATGGTAGCTTATTTTCATTATCATGCAGGATATTAAGTAGCTTGAAATCTGGAGATTGATGCCCTTTTGTTGGTAGGAAATTTTGTACAATATGTTTGAGATAGTTTATTTTCTACTATTTCAGTTGGATATTGTACTTCCTGTACTAAATATTCTAATTTTTATTTATTTTTTAAAAAGTTTTTACTTATTTAGAGTGGAGAGGGAGAGAGAGAGCGCACTCAAGCAGGGGGAGGGGCACAGGCAGAGGGAGAGAGAGACTCTCAAGCAGACTCTGCGCTGAGTGCAGAGCCCAACCTTGAGATCATGACCTGAGCTGAAACCACGAGTTGGATGCTTAACCGATTGAGCCATTCAGGCACCCCAGTATTCTAATTTTTAAAAGCTTTTTATCCTGGTCGTGACTTAATCTTTTTGTTCTACTTTTTGGGAGCATTTTTGACTGTTCTTTCACTGAATTTTTAACTTTTCTTGTCATATTTTCATGTTCTTTATTCTGTCTTCCTTTTTTAATGCTTCTTATTCTTGTTTAATGTATATAGTATCTGCTTGATTTCAGTTAAATTTCTTAAAATCCAGTTAAAACTTTAAAAAACTATTTTATTGGGCACCTGGGTGCTTCAGTTGATTAGGCATCCAACTCTTTTTTTAAGATTTTATTTATTTATTTGACGGATAGAGAGCAAGCACAAGTAGGCAGAGCAGCAGGCAGAGGGAGAGGGAGAAGCAGGCTCTCCGCCGAGCAGGGAGCCTGATGCGGGGCTCGATCCCAGGACCCTGGAATCATGACTCAATCGGAAAGCAGACGATTAACCAACTGAGCCACCTGGGCGCCCCTCTTTTTTTTTTTTTTTTTAAGATTTTATATATTTATTTGGGGGAGAGAGAGAAAGAGGGAGGGAGAACACAAGCAGGGAGGAAGCACAGAGGGTGAGGGAGAAGCAGACCTCCTGCTGAGCAGGGAGCCCCATGTGATCCCAGGACC